CGCTTCCTCTGTCGGTTTCTTCCCCAAAGTTATACGATAGAAAGGGCGGCGGCGACTTCCCCTGTCTGCAGCCCCACTGTGGCCTGTTCTGCCCTGTCCTAAAGGGTCGCTGAGACTCAGAATCAACTCCGTGACAAGGAGCTGGACTTGGAGTTGAAATAGAAAAACTCAGTGCCCTTCCACAGTAGCGCCTCCTCAGCTCTTTCTTCCTCCAAGGCCCCTCAAAAGCGCTCATATGCGCGTCCACCTTCCTATTTGCCTATTCTAGGGTTTCATGGAAGTTGGATAACACAGTATTTGACCTTTGGTGTTTGGTTTACTGCAGTTAACATGCTATTTCCAAGGTCGATCCATGTTGTAGCCTGTCTGAGGGTTCCATTTCTCTTTGTGGCAGAATAACGGCCTGATGTATGCATAACACCACATTTTGTTTACCCTGCTACCTGCTGAAGGGTACTTGGCCTTTTGCGACTGTAGAAAATGCTGCCATGCCCTCTCGGGCTACATGTATCTGTTCGTGTCCCTACTTGTAATTCTCGCTCATTTGTCTAACTTAGTGATGTGAGTTTGGTGGTGGTTCACCCATCAGATCATCGTTTGTGCATTAGACACCTCTCCATAGCTGCCTGCCTGCTCCCTTTCTTTCCCGTCACCCCCATGTAGTAGATCACCTTCCCCTTCACCCACATTCACACCTGTCTACCCCCAGACGACTGCTTCTCCTACCCCACTGGCCCACCCTTGGAAACCATCAAAGTCTGTTTCTCTTGGTGTTTACAAAATTGTGTAATTAAAAATGTTTCATTTAAAAAAATCTAAAAGTGGTCTGGTTTAACATCTGTCCTTTTGTGACTGACTGACTTCACTCAGCGTGATGTTCCCCAGATCCACCCACGTCATGAGGGCTTCACAGTCTCGCCACGGCTCTTTAGGGAGGCATAGTACTCCACTGTGTGGAGGGCCAACGTGGGCACGGAGCGTGCTGCTGTCCTCTTGCTGCTGTGACCAGTGCTGCGTGCGGTGAGCATGGGTGTGCATGTACCCGCTCATCCGATGCTCCCTGTTTCCCTTGGGTGTACACGAAGCAGCACAGTTGTTGTGTCATGGGGTAGTTCTGTTTCCAGTTGTTGGAAGAAGTGCCATCCCAGTGTGCACTGGGCTGTACGGTTTTACAGTCCCACAGCAGTGGATGGGGTTCCAACCTCCGCATCCCCTCCAGCATTTGTTGCTTTCTGCTTTTGTGAACATTGCCGTCACGGCGGGGTGAGGTGCTGTCTCCTTGAGACTCCCGCCCTGATGAGCGTGGCCGTTCCTCATGGTGGTTGGCTGTTTCATGTCCCCTTTGGTTCCGTCCGCTAGTGTGTTCTGGGTGCTTTGCGTAGAATTCCTCTGGCCCTAGACTTTGTTGGTTTGTTTGTTAATGACTAAATCAGTTTCTTGTTGAGTTAAAGGCTTGTTCAATTTGTGTATTGCACCAGTCTATGTTAGTGTGTTTCTAGACATGTGTCCATTTTTCCTAGGTTTCCAAATTTATTGGAGTGCCTTACTGCCAAGTTTTTTGTTTCATATATGTCCACGTAAAGGAGAGGAATTACTGAATTATTTGGTAATTCTATGAGCTTTTTTAGTTTCCTCATCTGCAAGTTGATGATGAGCACGAAATGAGCTCGCTTATGACTCGTAGGCGAGGCGCACATCTGCCAGGCACAGTAGCCTGCACATGTTACGTCCGGACAGAGGTACGTTGGCGTTGGCCCGTTCAAGTTCCAGCCCAGTCCTAACCCATCCGGACGCGTGAGAGCCATCCTCAAACACCTGAGGCAATGGCAGGGTGGAGTCAATCTGACCCGCCTGCCTTGCACATAGGGGACGTTAGGAGCAACAGCAGAAGCACTGTCCACTCTTCATTGTTAAACCAGACTACTTTTAGATTTTGTTCGCTAGTGCTTTAAATCACTCTTGACT